TATGTTAATAATGGATATGTTGGATTATAGATTGTATTATCATTTTCACCAAAACGTAATACAGCCCATCCAAATGATCCAAAACCAGCACTCACTGGAGGACCAAATGCAAATGAAAAACCAAATAAAATCCATTGTAAGAAAACAATACCCATACATATAAATGATAGAAAAAGTTGATTTAGAATATTTTTTCTATCAACAAGACCACCATAGAAAAAAGCTAATGCTGGTGTCATCAGTAAAACTAATGCAGTAGATATCATCATCCAAGCATTATCACCTGTATCAAGATTACTTTGACTTGTTGCATTTTCCATTGTCGTATTAGCGCTATTATTATTAATTTTTCTTGAATAAAATCAACAAAATTAATGAGAAATACAATGGCTAAACGGATAAGCTGATATCTATAATAAATATATTACTGTAGATGTGGAAAAATAAAAAATGTTTCATTTATCTTTGCACCTTTGGGTAAAAGAATATAGCTTTGTTCACTTTGCTCTGTCTATAAAAAAATTTACATATAGCTTATTCTGGTATAGTTCGGTAGAGCATGAATTACTGTATTGACCTATCTAATTTTTATTCCATGTGTTACCTAGTTTTTCGACGAATTTGATAAATTTTCAGAAACATTGAATCGAATTTTTTGCATGCTTTTATTCAGTTCAAACGAATTTATTTGAATAAAAATTGGTTTAGATGAAAGAAATTCATCACATTGTAACGTACAGAAAATATTAAATAGTAATCATTAAAAATTGAAGAGAGAATTATATTTTAATGTCAAAAACTCAATTCACTTTTGTTTTTATACAAGACTAAGTTTATATTATCGTTCACAAAAATTCACTGGTATGACTTAGATTAAATCTTATAACGATGATGTAAATCGATGGAAACATCAACGCTCGATTTATGGAAAAACTTCATAATAACAATTTTTAAAAAGACACCGAATTTTTTTTTTTTTGTTAAGATAGAAAATAAGTCTAATGAAAAACATATTG